TAATTACAACATGCAGCTCGATAAGTGCGATATAGAGAAACTCATCACAATGTGTGTTTAGGAAGAGGAGAGGCTAAAATCCTTATAGGATGACTCTGCCAACCTTGTGAAGGACAATAAGAAAAAGAACTTCAATAAGAATGTCAAACATCAAGGGAAAGCCCCTCAGAATGACCACCATCTGAAGAACAACAATGCTTAAGTTGAGAAGGATCAGTGTAAATGGTGCAAGAAGCATAGACACTATTAGAGGGACTGTCCCGACTTCCTAAAGAGCCTTCTGAAGAGAGGTGAGGATTTCATTACATTCATAGATGAATTATTGTATTTAAGTTATACAAAATCTACTTGGTGGATTGATTCAGGTGTAACTGTTCATGTTGTAAATTCATTACTAGGATTCTGTACGAGGAGGACCCTGCAAAGAGGAGAAAGAAGAATTAAAGTTGCAAATGGAGTTGAAGCTAAAGTTGAAGCCATTGGAGATCTATCTCTAGAATTAGATGATGGTTTTAGACTGCAGCTTTCAAATATTCTTTATATACCCTCTTTGTGAAGAAACTTAATAAGTGTCACGTTTAGATGATGATAGATATGATTGTCATTTTGGTAATGGCAAATGTAGAATTGTGATTAATAATAAATGTGTTGGTCTTGCCTTCCGACAAGACAAGCTTTATTTATTATCACTTTCTGAGAATATAAATGATGTAAGTATTGAGAATGAGAATGATTCCTCGTCTATGAATACAACAAATAAGCGAAAGAGAGTGCATGATGTATCCTCGAAATTATGGCACTGTCGTTTAGGCCATATTTCGAGGGGGAGAATAGAGCGATTGATTAAGAAATCAATTCTTCTACCTTTAGAATTTTCAGATTTAGAACAATGCATAGATTGCATAAAAGGAAAGTATGTTAAGAAAATAAAGAAAGATGCCAAATGAAGCACAGGAATTTTAGAAATAGTTCACACAGACATCTGGGGTCCTTTTTCTGTGAAGAGTGTGGATGGTAATGATTCATTTATAATATTCACATATGACTATTCTCATTTTGGCTATATTTATCCAATTAAGGAAAGATCGGAAGCATTGGATAAATTTAAAATATTCAAGGCTGAAGTAGAAAATCAGCACAACTTAAAGATTAAGGTAGTAAGGTCCGACCGTGGGGGAGAGTACTACGGTCAACACACCCTATATGGCCAAGTTCCTGCACCCTTCGTAAGGTTCTTACAGGAAAATGACATAGTAGCCCAGTATTATACATCAGGCGAGCCTCAGCAGAATGGAGTAGTTGAAAGACGCAACCGTAGCTTAATGGATATGGTGAGAAGCATGATAAGTAACTCTACCTTAGCGATAAGTTTATGGATGGAGGCGTTGAAAACCGCCATTTATATTCTTAATCGAGTGCCAAGTAAGTCGGTGCCCAAAACACCGTATGAGTTGTGGATAGGAAAGGACCCCTCACTTAACTATTTACGTGTGTGGGGTTGTCCAGCTGAGGTAAAAGTATTTAACCCAAATATAGGGAAGCTAGACTCTAAGACAGTCAGTTGCCATTTCATTGGCTATCCAGAAAAGTCAAAAGGTTATCGCTTCTATTGTCCTGATAGACAAACGAAATTTATAGAAATAAGACATGCTGTCTTCTTGGAGGATTATATGATTAGGGGGAGCATGGTAGTACGAGAAATTAGTTTTAAAGAGAAGATGGTATACGTGCCCATTCCTATGGTTCAGAAACCATTCTTCACGCTACCTGTTGTTGCTGTACCAACAGTGCAAGACACTATAGTAACAACACCTATTGTTAGTTCTCCTATGACAACACTGGATGAACATGAGGAACATGTCCTTCAGGATCCCCTAAAACCCGTTGTCACACATGAGGGAGAGCAATAACAGCCTCATATAGAACAAGCGTCATCTAACGATGCCCCTAGAAGGTCTCAAAGAGTCAGGAGATCAGCCATTCCTGATGACTACGAAGTTTATGAATGTGAGGAATTTCAAATAGAGGGTGATTCCATCTCATTTGAAGAAGCCATGAGAAGCGCTCACTCATCCAAGTGACTTGAAGCCATGTAAGATGAAATGAAATCAATGAAAACCAACAGTGTTTGGAACTTAGAAACAACTCCTAAAGGAACCAAGATAGTAGGTTGTAAATGGGTCTACAAAACTAAACATGACTCCAAAGAGAATATAGAAAGGTTTAAAGCGTGCCTTATGGCGAAAGATTTCACGCAAAGAGAAGGCATAGATTACAATAAGATATTTTCTTCAGTCTCATGTAAGGATTCTTTTAGAATCATAATGGCGCTTGTAGCACATTATGATTTAGAATTACATCATATGGATGTAAAGACGTCGTCCTTAAATGGGGATCTAGAGGAAAATGTTTACATGGCACAACCAAAAGGTTTTGTTGTGGAAGAAAAAGAACATATGGGATGCCGTCTGAAGAAATCCATTTACGGATTAAAATAAGCTTCAAGACAGTGGTATTTGAAGTTTGATAGTACAATAAGAAAGTTTGGGTTTTAAAAAAAGGTAAAGGACAATTGCGTTTATGCAAAGTTCAAGAATGGGAAATACATTTTCCTAGTCTTGTATGTGGATGACATCTTGCTCGCTAGCAGTGATGTTAATCTACTACTAGAAACAAAGAAGTTCTTGTCCTCGAAGTTTGATAAGAAGGATCTCGGTGAAGCTTCATTCGTCCTAGGAATAGAGATTCACCGAGATAGAGAAAAAGAGTTTTAGGATTATCACAAAAGACATACTTAGAAAAAGTTCTAAAAAATACAGTATGTAAAATTGTAAGTCTTCACCTGCTCCGATAGTCAAGGGCAACAGATATGGAGAATTTCAATGTCCTAAGAACCAATATGAGATCGATCAAATAAAAGTGATTCCATATAGTTCAGCTGTCGGAAGTTTATAGTATGCTCAAGTGTGTACTCGTCCTGACTTATCATTTATTACCGGGTTACTTGGTAGATATCAGAGTAATCCATGAATAGAACACTGGAAATTAGTAAAGAAAGTTTTGCGTTACCTGCAAGGTACGAAGGGTCTCATGCTAACGTACAGAAGATCTGATTCCCTACACATAGAGGGATATACAGATTCTGATTATGCGAGAGATGACAGAAAATCCACGTCAGGATACATATTCACTCTCGCAGGAGAAGCTATATCGTGGAAAAGTTCAAAGCAAACCGTCACTACATCGTCCACAATGTATGCCGAGTTTGTAGCATGTTATGAGGCCACATGTCAGGTGAATTGGCTGAAGAAATTCATGTCCGGGTTGAAAGTGGTAGACGACATAAATAAACCACTCAAGTTATACTGCGATAATAATCCAACAGCATGTTATGCTCACAACAATAAGTCAAGTGGTGCTGCCAAACACATTGACATAAAGTATTATATTGTGAAAGACAAAGTCTGAAATCATATAATTAGTCTTGAACATATAAGAACAGAAAAGATGCTCGCGGGTTCACTTACAAATGACTTACTATCCAGCGTGTTCAGAGAACACTTAGCCGGTATGGGTTTAAGAGAAAGCTTATGATGGCCTAGTTGAGAATCTGTTTCAAAATAGAGAGGTGTATTGTAGTTGTTTAATCTAATGGCAACTGACCGTGATGATGAGGCACGCTCAATACACTGATTTTTGGTGGAATGAAAATAAGATAAAGTAAGTAAATTGAGAGTAAATCATAAGGTGAGATCAAGGGAGAAAATGTTAGACGATCTCCAACCAATTGGTCGTGGGCCCTTGGATCCACGCCCTGATCGGGGGCACTCAACCCTACATGGTTGGTGGCCCCCATCACACTACGCTATAAAAAGAGGTTCGGGCCGGCGGCTCTCCTGACGAGGTTGACCGAGCTACAGTTCTCATCGACAAAACCCTAACATCGATCTAGAGAGGGTGCGTAGCCAATGACAGAAAGCACCACCACGAGGTTCACCGCCGCCACTAGACCGCACCTACGACCGCAGACAACGCCGCCACTGCACCGTCATCTTTCACCACCGAGTCTCCACCGAGCACTGCGATGGTCAGCTCGTCTTCTGCGAAGACGACCGATGGTTTGCCACCGCATTCCACTCTCTTCCTATTTTCTCATACTATATGTTTTAGGGTTTATATTTCATCATATGTCAGTTAGTATGCTGGATGTATGGACAGTGCCTGTAATGTTTCTATCAAGGCCATGTTTAGATTGCAAAAAATTGCAACCCGATGAATAGTAGCGCTTTCGTCTTATTTGATAAATATTGTCCAATCATGGACCAACTAAGCTCAAAAGATTCATCTCGTGATTTTCAACTAAACTATGTAATTAGTTATTTTTTTACCTACATTTAATGCTTCATGCAAACGGTTAAAAATTGATGTGATGGAGAGAGAGTGAAAAAACTTGGAATTTAAAGGTGATCTAAACAAGGTTCAAGTACACCACGCCCAAGCCCCGAAAGAGCCATCAGGACGCAGCAGACCAGGACTCGAAAAGCCGCGGGAACCAAGGCCCGAAGACGGGTGGTGGTGCACTGCGCACTGCACCCCGTGCGAGCGGGCGCGGCGCCCGACAAGACCCGCGCGCGTTCCAACTTCCGCTCGCCCAGTGCCGTGCGCTCTGCCCTGTCGCAGCCCGCAGCCCGCAGCGCGCGCAGACGGCAGGCCTCAGGGTCAGGGTCGGACTGGTCATCGAGTCGGGCTCGTGTCAAATCAAATCAATCACCGCTCGCCTCCGTCCGCGTCAGTCGAAATCGCATCGAACCATCCGTCCCACACTCCCCCACTCGCACGTATTTTCCCTCCTGCGCCGGCGCCGCGCGTGGTGTGGTTTCGCTGCGCATTCGCGACGTCTCTTGCAGTTGCAGGTACCGTAGCTGTTGCCGGCCGCTGCCTTTGCGCCTCGCCGTGCCGTGTGAGCAGTGTGCACCGGTGGACACGCGGCGGCGAGGGAGATGGCGTCGGCGGGCCGCTGGGCATGGATGGCGGAGGTGGCGGGCGAGGAGCTGGCGAAGCTGGAAGCGGCGCACCCGGGCCGCTTCGGCCCGCTCAAGGCCGAGCTCGAGCGCCTCGTCGCCGACCCCGGCTTGGACGAGGCGGCAGCGTTCGCGCTCGTCTCACCGCGCGCCGGCGCCGTTGCCGTCACCGACGCCGCCGATACCACCCCGGCCGCCGCCTCGTCCCAGCCTGCTGCTGCTCCTTCGCGCACGGTGCCCGTGTGCACTCAAGGTTCGTCCTCCACCTGCCTCCGCCACTCTATGCCATGCCATGCCATGCTCCCTTCTGTTCCCGTCGCGTGCCATGGTGCCAGTGCATGATCCAGCCATCATCCGCTCACTCACCTTGCGAGGAACTTTTGCAGAGTCGTCGACCCGAAAGAGAAAGCCGCGCGGCGGCGCGCGGGAGCGGGAGGAGGGGAAGCGGAGACGGCGGGCGAGCACGCCGCCGGGATCGGGAGGGGCAAAGGACAGGGCCGACATGGCCATCGAGCGCGCCCAGCGGTGCCTAGAGAGGATCCGCGCCGTCAAGCAGAGCTTGCTTGCCGCTTGGATTCACTGACGGGAGGCAGGGGTGGAGAAACGAGAGCAGGAACAAGGAAAAACTCTGGCGATGGAAAGGGTAACCCCCAAAAAAAAAATTTACCTTTTATCGATCGAGAGCCTCTTTTCTTTTGGTTATTGGAAAGTGAGAATCGTTCTGTTCATGGAGAAACAGTTGGTTCTCCAAGATTACATACAGGGCCCTGTGTAAGTAGAGCTGCCCTTGTATGCCATGTCACGGATTAAGCTCAACTGCGCAAATAGTAAAGCGGGTTATATGCCTCACTCATTTGAACACATCTCCTTTATCTACAGATTCACCGAGCCGAATGATTTTCCATGCGCATTGTGAATTGTGATACCAGTTGGGGATTGGTTCAAATCATTTCAGCTGATACCATCCAGATGTTCGACGCAGAGATCTTCCGGCTGCAGCAGCGGTAAGATCAACATGTACACGGGGCCCAACAAATTTTCAAAGAGTTCTGCCAAATGTATGACTTGGAAATTTAAGGGACAGTTTAGCAGGTTTTGGCTTCTCCTAAAAGTGTCCCAGCTGTGGTTTCTCTTGTACAACAACTTCTCTAGCGGATGTGAAGCTGTTTTGGAAAACTTTCGATAAAAACCCTCTGGTTCTAGTTTTGCAACGATTTGTTTTAAGTTTGTGAGGAGCTAGAAAAAGCTACATTTTTGCAGCTCTACGTTCTCAGTATAACTTTTCGTACACGAAAGCAAGGCCACCGCTCATACAACCCCTCGATCCGTAAGGTTTAACTCATGCCAATATTTTCCACATTTGACTAAGTCGTCCAATGATCGGTTCGAGTAATGCAGGAGTACTAGTTTTACTAGCTAGCCTAGGTGACACACCAAATCCATAGGATTACCAAGTCACAACATGATACTCCACTGCCATGCCCATACACAACATATGGCAAGTAAGATATTGTGCTCATATTGATGCCACAATTGTCGTTCCTTAATCGGCCAAGCGAATTACACCACTCGAGATCCCGTTTTGTCATGACATTAACCCTCACCGAACCTCGATCACATTCATTTATCTTGGTCAAACTTTTAGCTCTTTCCTTCCCTATTTTTTCATGATTTAAGCCATTAACTCGTATAGTTTGCAAGTAATGATAATTTTCATGTACTCAACTTCTTCCGTTCTAAGCATGCTAAGAATGAATAACGTACATCCGTAAACAAGCAACACTTCAAGGCATGATATGAATCAAGAAGGAATGAAAGTTAAACAAGTTGCATCTAAGTCGTGGCATACATACATAACATGCAAGTGCATAGCACATACTCAAGTTATGCTTCAAGAAAAGTGTCAAGGATGCTTAGGTTTGTGTAACAACCCGGGTTTTTGGAGAAGCAAAAATACGAACTTTTTAAAAATTTTCCTGCAATATGTGAAGCATGTAGATGCTAGGTCAAACAAAGAACAATTTATAAATAAATTGTTGCATACATATAGTGATGCTTGTAGGAGCTTGCCAAAGTTCCTTATTTGGTTTAGGGTTTTGTGTTGGAGAGCACAAGTCCGTAGCAAATCCTTTTGATCCCTTCTAGAATATCTTATGAATCTCTTTTCCTCTCTCTCAATTCATCTTTTGCTTTTAAACCTCATTCAAATCCCCTGATCTAATTCATAAAGTCAATCGACCTTCCTTGTAAATCAATGCACGTGAGTTGTCAATCCATGGTATAGAGTAGGATAGAAATAAGGAATAGAAAAGGACAGGAAATAGGAGAATGAAATAGAAAAGCCTTTCGGCCCAAGACGAAGCACCAGCCCAACCAGCCATCCCTCCCTTTCCTTCCAAGGCGCCCCACCACCTCCACCTCACCTCGGCCCACGCTGCAAAGCAGTGCAGCAACCCAACCCCCCCCTCCCCTTGCCCACGCCCGCCGCCTCTCTACTCCCCACAGGCCCGCTCAGCTAGGCTAGGCTGCCCACCACCAGTGCCTTTGGCCCACCTGGCAAAGCAATTGCCGCCTGCCAACCCTAGACTCGGCGCAGATGCTCCCAGGCGCCGCCGCCGCGCGGGTGGCAAAGCACGCGCCTGCGCCTCACCTGCTCCGCTCCTCGATGCGCGCCGCGTACCCCTTCCCTGCACGGAAGCCGAGGATCGCCGTCCACAGCGCCTAGAACCCTAGCCGATGCCGCTATAAAGTCGGCGAAGCCACCACCCTCTCCCTTCCCACCGCCACAAGCCTCTCCACTCTCTCCTTCCTTCCGTTTCCAAGAGAGCCATAGCCATGGCGCCGGAGGCCAAGCGATGCCGCGCTCGACACCTCCACGGCGCCCTACGGCACCGCCTCCTCGATCACCATGCTGCCAAAGATCCCCACGGCGTCCGTCTTCCTCGAGCCGAGCCTCAACCGCGAGACCACCCCGACGTGCACGCCGACCTGCACCAGGCCTCGCCACCGACGACCGCAAGACTTCACCGCACCCAAGCCACCGTTGTCCTTCGTCACGACCACCACGACATCTGCACGGCGACCGTCCCTGACCACCAACCTATAGCCGAAGCCGCCTCCCTGCCGAGCGATGGAACACCGGTGAGCAACATCCTTGCCAAAGCTCCTGTTTTTCCGTTCCCTATCGTCGCCGTCGCCTGAAGATCGGCCTTCATGCCATGTCTGGTTCACCGTAGGAAAGCCACAGCCTCTCCGTGCCGGGACGCGCCGCGCCGCGTCAAGCTCCACCCGGTCGCCCGCTGCCACGCCGGTGGAGGCCACTAGCCGGCCTCGACCACCCTGCGACCTCCACGGCTGCTCGCCCTGCTTTGAACCGGCCTCGTCCCGTCGACGCCCCTGCACCGAGCACCATGATGCGCCCCTGCTCCAGGCCCGTGACCATGACGACCCGAGCGCCCTGCCTTGCCCCTACCACCATCAGCGCCGCGCCGAGCCCCTGCACCGACGCTCTCTACATTCCCCTGTACCGCGACCCGAACCTCCACCGTAGGCGGCCTCCATAGCACCACCATCCAAGGACTGTCCGCGCCACCAAGCTTCACCTCACGATGACACCCGAGGCCTCGGAGAACGTTGCGCGCGACACCATCACCGCGGCCGCGACGTTGACACGATCACGTCCCGAACTGCACCGCGCGGACGCCCGGCGCCAAGCCCGTCGGTAAGCACCAGACCCCCAAAGCTCCGCCTTTGATTCGTTGCCTTGATGCCTATTGAAAGGCCTTCATATGCTAGAGGGCCCGAATAGCCTGTTTAAACATCTACAAATCCACTAGCACGTAGTGCCTTGTCACCATAGCGTAATGCAAACGGCTCTAGCTGCCGAAGCGCAAGCACATCATCCAACAATTCTACCTTGCACGAATACTTAGGCACTGCCCTATCTATGTAATTACGCACACGCATGCGATGGGATTGACACTCTAAAGCCGCCCAACTAGATGAAGGTACCCCAACCGGAGCCCACTACCGACGCTGGGCGCTATGGTTGTGCCGTGCAACTAGTTTGCCAGAATGTAAATGCCTCCTCACGTGCTTAGCCCAACGGAGAGCGCGGGATGAACCAATCACAAGACCACCTTCCTATAGCCAATCACCGAGAACGCGAGCCAAAAGAGAGCCGCATCGACCTTCCGTCGAGCACACACGTGCCAGCACCGCACGCATGTCGCCGATGGCCACCACAGGTCACTGCATCGCCATCGCGCCACCACAGTTTCACTCTACCTCGCTCCACTTCGTCATCCGATTTGGACACACAAGCACACACACACACGTGACTAACCTAAGCCAAATCGAACCACCAGAGTTCCAAGAACACCGATGTGGTTGCCGACCACCATTGAAGCATTTTCTAAAGCCATGTCTCAAAGCGACCGTGAACCATGCCCGAATGAGTCAAGCCTTGCCTTGACCGTGGCGTCTCGGCGTTACGTGCGGCGAGCTCTCTACCGCTCCTAGACATGCACGCACTCACTAGCACGAGACCGGACTTAGCCAAACGGATCCACGGCGTGGAGACGCGGAAAGGACTTGAGCTGAGGAAACCGTCGTGGCCAAGCCATGCCACGGCGGTTGCTAGTTACCATGACCTCATCGTGAGCCCCGAAGCCGTAATTGGACCACGTGGTATTGATCGCCGCATCATGGACTGCAGGATTCCCTTTTTGGTTGCCCTGACAGGTTCTGTGGAACCCTGTGCCCATGTTTCACCACTGTTCTGGCTACCTCGAGTTACGAGAACATGCCATCGAGATCTACCAGGACCCACACTAAGGGCCTTTTGAAGTAGTCACATTGCACGACTCACGGACAAAGCCCTGACATACACCGCATGACCTAGCACCGTGTCGTCCACCCTGGACCAGCCCCCAACTCAGCCCAAGCCTAGCCACCTGAGCCCGTTAAGAGCCTAGTCATCATGTTGTTGACGATCAACGATGATGACTGACCCAACCCACATGTCGCTGACCGCTGCCGAGGGCCCACACTCACCCTGTCCACCCGTTGTCGAGACCACCGTTGCCGAGATTACCGCTGCGAAGATTACCATTGCCGAGATCACCGTTGCCGAGACCACCACTCAAATGTGAGACCACCGAATTTTGACCACCGTTGTCGAGACCATATGGCCTCATTTTTCCAAAGAGACCACCGTGGCCTCGCTTGCAAAGACCACCATGACCCCGCTCTACCGCAAACACCGTACCCTCTGTGTTGAACCCTAGTCGTATGTCTTACCGAGACCATGGAAAGCCCCATCTCACATGTTTCCGTGATCGCATATCTATCTTGTTGGGCCCTATTCTTACAACCTATTTGTCCATGACATCCTTTACAGAAATTCACCTATCACCCAACTATGGAATGTGCTACTCCGTAGTCGTGTCAAGTTGTTGCGTCTTTCGGTCGTGTTTGGTTCTTATCGTTGGTTGTTGGTGTTGTTGCCTGTGTGCCGAGCCTTCGAGCTGGCTGAGGGATCGTACCTCGTTCGGACGTTACGATCGCGGGATCCGTCTTGCC